TAAGCACTACTTGGACCCTTAGGGTTGTCGAACCTTATAGAAGGTAGCGGGCGTACAGAGCGCCGTGTTGATTTCCTGGGCGCTCTTGCGGCTTCGAGACATTCCGGATGATTCCATGGATGATGATATGGGGTTGGGCTTGGGTGGGGGTGGGTGGGGGGACAATGACGACGGTTGTAACGCCGACAATGCCCAAAACACTGTGGTATTTACGGCGCTTTTGGCACTTTACATAGTGCAGAAGGATATTTGACGTGACGCACTGTCACAAGCGTCCATGCCTGGTGCGAGCATGCCCAAACTCAAACGACTGGTATTTACAGTGCGGCATTTCACCACTCTATACAACAGACTGCAGAAGTATGTATTTGTGGCATAAGACGCACTGTCACAAGCATTGATGCCGTGTGCGAGCATGCCCAAAACACTGGTGTTTACAGCGTTTAGCCCTTTGCAAAACATACCACCGCACAATGATGTGGTGATGAGGATGCTGATGAAGATGGTGATGATCACTATAAACCGACAGAGGCTGAGTGAAATCTGGTCCAACTTCGGCAGACGCTACACCCTGTTTTTCCGAACATCGCGCTAAAACCTCGGTTTTCAAACTAAGACGGCGCCCCACGCACCCGCACCCTTATAGAACCTGGTAGTACTGGGGGGGTACTGGGGGGGGCGGGGGTTCTACGATGTCGACGTGATTAAGAGTCGAAGGCTTTGCATTACAGGGTTTCGAGTTTCAGGTCGAGGGCTCAGCCACTCCCAAACCCTGAACTCTAAGCCCTGACACCCTATAAATGTCGGGACCCTTGGCTGAGCTTGGATTACTCTGCCCTGAACCGATTGGGTCAGAATTTGCATTGTGTCTGGCTCATACACCCTGCGCCAATGCTCATGAGGTTGGAGCTCGGAGGCATGGAGATCAATTAAGAGCATTAGGTGACCCAACGTAGCCGAGTTTGGGTCTTTTGCCGCTTTTGCATGTACAGTGCTGACTCGCTGGTCCCGAGCTCCCTGCCGCGATAACGCCAGAAGTGTAGAACTCGCCCTTCTGATCCTCGAAGCACAGGTGTCATGATGTAGAAGTTGAGTATGGCTTATGATGATGATGATGAGGATGATGATGATGGTGGCGCTGACTGTGATGTTGGTGGTGATGATGATGGTGATGGTGATGGTGATGATGAAGAAGATGATGATGATGAGAATGATGATGATGATGAGGAGGAGGAGGAGGAGAATGATGACGAGAATGATGATGAGAACTATTATGAAAATGATGATGAGAATGATGATGAGAAGGATGATGAGAATGGTGATGATGATGATGATGATGATGATGCTGATGATGATGCTGCTGCTGATGCTGATGATGAGGAGGGGATGAGAATGATGATTAGAATGATGATTAGAATGATGATGATGATGGTGATGATGGTAACAAGGACGGTGATGACGGCAATCATGACAACGAGGAAAAGCCAAATCCCATGCTCTAGACCCCGTCAAGCGAGGAGCCATCCTCCCTTCAACCTAGAGCTCAACCCTCTACTTTGATGGGCGACGGGGCACCTTTGACTACACCCGATGGTGTACGCCGAGTCCTGACTCAGCTGCGTCTCGCCTCGCTTGATCAATGCCTCGCAGAAAGGAACGTGGCCAGCAGGCATCTACTAATAATCATTGTCAAGATCCCAGAAATCCGCAGACGCCAATATAACTTCAGGATCCCATATTAGAGAACCAACTAAGCCTCGAGGCATCTTCCGGTACCAACAACGAGCCAGGGAGGACACTATGGGTTCAGGGATCTAGGGGTCCTGGCTTCTGGGCTTCAGGGTGTAGGTTAGGTTTGGGCATCACAGCTCGTGTGACGAAACCAGATGCAGCTTTCAGCGCAGAAACGAAGCTCCGTCGAAAGGGGCCTGCCCCAGCTCGAAAACCCAACCCTCACAAGCCGTACCCAGGCGAAGGCGAAGCTGCCTCACACTCCTTGGCCAGCTCCGCACCGTCCCGGAAGCAGTAGCAGCCTTCGAATTTGGGGTTCTAGGATTGAGCAGTCAACAACTTCAGCGGTCAAACAAATCTTCGAGCTTTCGGGCTGAGGACATACCTGCGGATCCCAAAACCTATACAGTTTTTAGGCTTAGGCCACGCAGCTAAGGGCTTATAATTTGGGGGGTGCAGGTAGAGACAAAGATCGGATGTTGAGCCCTGAGACTGGAAACTCGAAAACCCTGAGTCCACAAGCCTTGAAGCACAAAGCTGAAACTTCCAACCTCAAAGCGCTTCACCAGTTCTTCATCCCTGCACCTATCTAACCCAACACCCCTGAAACCATTTGGCTTCGAAAGGCGGCCAACATGGCAGAAAGGATCATAGGGCTGAGGGCTCTCAGCTGTATGATTTAGGGATCAGGGTTTCAAACTGTATGTTTGATGAAGCCCAGAGAATTCAACATCTCCCATTAAGACGAATCCCGAGCAGCCCATGACAATTATGATGGGTCCTGCAATCAAGGATGGTGTCCTGTTTGAGAAGCCTTCAGCGCCTTCATACAACATTAAGGTAGACCAGATCGGCACTTCTAGCACTACCCCCTAAATCTAAACCCTAAACCCTAAACCCTAAACCCCTAAACCCTAAACCTGTAACCTATTTGCTTTTGTCCCCTGCTCCTTGAAGTAAATCAGAGAGCGAAGAGTTCATGGGGAGGTGTACGGTGGCCTATTGTTGGGAAAGCAGACAGTTTAAGGTGTTGGGGCTTAGAACCTTTATGCATCAAGGATTGAAGGCGTATAGAGTTTGAGAATTGCGGGATTTACAGTTTGGGTGATGAAGTGGTCAGGTTTTACAGATGTTTGTAGGGTAGTACATGATAGATGTTTAGCCGATTTCGAGTGGGTCTACAGTCTGAAGCTTGCGGGGGCTGAAAGTGTAGAGCGTTCGTCGTTTGCAGTCTACATAAGGGTTAAGCCTTCGACATGCACGCAGTCTGCTTCCGGGCCTGTGTTGGCCCAGTCACTGATTTTCACCTTCTCCTGGCAGGTGTTCGCACATTGCACCAGCCGCCACGAAATTCTGGAAGCGTCTACGACAGTGGCGCAAGGGTTCAGGCTCAACAACAAGCCGCAGTCGAATCAAACCAACAGCTTCGCAGTTGGAACCACGCAAGGGTGGAAACTTAAGCCTGCGACGACACGGTGTGAATCTGTGTCAGTGTTTGGGGGTTCAGGTTGAGAGGTTTTGGCTTGCTGGCATTCTCCTGGCATAGCCTGCAAACCCCCGCTGGCCCCTGCAATACAGAGGGGTCAGGGCTCTCGGTCTGCCATCCAGTCGAATCTAGTCATCTGCAGTTCACAGCCCATAGCCACGTTCTCGCCTTCACTTCTTTGATGTTGTCTGCATCATCCATGGTGATATAACCTGGCCCGATTGGCGCACAACTTTTAACGCATGCGCACACACACACACACTACTACAGATCATGCAGCAATAACCTAGCAGACGGGAAACATGCAGACAAACCAATAAACAACGTGTTACGCTTACCTACAGTTGAACCCCAGAGCGTCTGCAATCATAAGAGATCGGGCTCGAACTTCAGTGAGCAGCAGGAATACCAGTTGACGGTTCCAGCGAGTGTCTGAAGTCTGAACTCCTGAACCCTCTTACGAAATAAACCCTAAACCCTAAACCCTAAACCCCTAAACCCTAAACCCTAAACCCCTAAACCCTAAACCCCAAACCCTAAACCCTACTGCAGCCCGAAACCTGAGCCCCGAAAGACTCCTGGAATCCAAACTCCACGACAGCAAATGGCCAGACACTCCAACCGCCTTGCGTCGCCCAACCAAAACCTAAACCCTCTTAACCATCCCCCTAAACCCTAAACTAACTAAAAACACCAAGAACATAACTTTGGGAGAGTCCGCCTCCATAAGACTGACACATGTTGCAATGCGGCTGTGGCATTCGGAGCTAGCCGGCAACCTTAAATCAATAAGCCGGCAGGCTGAAAGCCTTGCAGCCGGGAAGCTGTAGATTGGCTTTGGCTGGGTGTCATGGAAGCAGAAAACGGCGTTGTGCGTCGCGGCCTTTCTGCGGCTGCAGGGCCGCAAGTCAACACTTCAAGCAGAGTGACTGCGAGACCAATAAAGTGCCCGCGCAATTTACGGTAAATTACGGGCATCAACACCCTATGAGACACTTCCCCCAGTTTTGCATCAGGCACAAGAACGTTTCCAAAAAGCTTTACTGAGTCACACGAAGCCTACTGAGGCCGACAAGCCCTAAGGCCCACTGAGACCCTAAACTCCACTAAATATCATATATTAGGTCATATTATAGTGTATACACAGTCTAGTACAGTATAGCATAGTATACTGTTTTATGCTATACCATGTCATAACTGAGCCCTCTAAGCCCAAAGCCCCACAAGTGCCACACCCGCAGCCGCAGAGCCACTTGAAGCCTGGTCGCGATCTTTCGAAACTGGCCGACGACGTCTGAGGTGTAGAATGTATCTCCATCCTTAGTAAAGGACTGTATACGGTTTAGGGCTTAGGGTTTAGGGTTAAATGTATCTCCATCCTTAGTAAAGGACTGTATAGGGCAGTATAGGGCTCTTCGGGTCTGCAGCTTGGAGTTGAACATTGACGGCTTCGTGGGCAGTGGTGGCGAGTCGTGCCTGCCATTGTCGTTGAAGAGTAACTATTGCTACTAAGTACATGCTACTATACTCTCTTCTTCAACGACCAGGCCCAACAAAGTTCAATTTTTTAGGATAGACCTGATAGATAAGGCCAAAAAGTTTAAAGTTCTCCTATGGGCTATCTAAGTATACTATGAACGGTTAGTTCCACTCCAATGTGCTTCTCAGATTTCGGGTTTTGAAAGCGGTCGGGCGTAGGATGCTTGTGTTCCGACAGGGGATTCTGCTTTCGGACAAGCACTCTGGGGGTCTACATGCTACCTAAATCACTGAATCCGAAAGCTGTAGCTTTGCTAGGGTTTAGGGTTTAGGGTTTAGGGTTTAGGGTTCAGGGTTCAGGGTTGAGGTTGCTCTACGCCATGACTCTGAACAAGACGAAAGGCCAGAACCCTACACGACTTGCAACATGCATCCCGAACCTCCAGCCCTTTCGACCTCTAACAGCTTTCAATCCCTCAAAATGCTCATGCCTCCCACCCGAACCCTCCACCTCCAAACCGGGACAAAAACCTTATGAATCCAAATGGGCCGGGCGTCTGCCAACAAAGTAGGTCGTGATTGAAGCTCCTGATCTTGTCTTGGAGCGTTATGCTCAGCGTGGCTGCTAAGGGTTATGCAGAGTTTTGTGAATTCAGGTGACGGAGGGGACGATTAGAAGGTCTGAGAACATTCCTTGCAGTTGTAAGGGCGTTCATGGCTTTAGTCATTCTTAAGCCGGGCCTAGTGGCAGCGGAGAAGTCTCATTGCATATGGTTCAAGCATGATGGCCTCTGTCGCCGATATGATGCTAACTCCTCTGTCGCTGTGCCCACTGCTGCTGCCACCAGCGAAACCACCATGACGAAGACGATGACCAGCTCGACAACAACAACGACAACCCACCACAATTCTACAATTCGGGGTTTCAAAGTTAAGTCAGATTCAAGAAGTCGGGACGACAGCTGACTGTTTCGGATTACGGCAGGCCTCAATCGACTTTGCATGCCTAGTGGCTTTGCGGGGCCAGTTTGCCGCAATATACGTTCCATGTGACTCGTCAGATCTGAAAACCTTAAACGCCTTAAACTCAAACCTTACCTGAATCCCAGCTAGCTACATCTATTTAGGGCTTACATGAGGACATCGTAACAAAGCACCCTACATGTGTAGATTTTCCATGGTCCAGGTATGCATTAGACAGAAAAGAGTTCGCACTTCTGCACGCCATGACCTAAACCCTAAACCGGACAGTAAGAGATGCTCAATCACTCGAAGCGATCGTTGCTGGCCTTGGCTTGCACAAGGTTACGAGGTGAACCTCGTCGTACCCGCATAGTGCCCTTATTAGAATGCCCATGAAAAATTGTTTCGTTTGAGACAGTAGCGCCTATAATAAATACGATAGACACTCGACCGCCATGCACCAATACCCTGATCATCCCGACACGGCTTTCTCCTGCGGCAACGCTTGAAGCCCGATCAGCACCTCAGTGTGCGTGGGCGTGAGTGTGTGTGTGTGTGTGTGTGTGGTGCCCACATATTTAAGTAAGCAAGTTAGTATAAATAAATGACGCATACGTATGTATACTGGTTTATTTATCTATCTGTCTATCTATCGGTTTATTCAATTTGATTTGTTTGTTTACTCACGCAGAATCGATTGTAGATATGAGTGTATATACACAAATTTGTGTGTCCGCCCGTGAGAGCAGCAAGCCGCCTCAAAGCCACCTAGTGCCTGGAACATGTAAACCCTAAACCCTAGACCCTAGACCCTAAACCCTAAACCCTAAACCCTAGACCCTAAACCCTAAACCCTAAAACCCTAAACCCTAAACCCATGAACATGTGCGCCTGCATCTTCAGATTGCTGGTATTCATCTTGCAGTGTGATGCGACCCATCTTCAGCGGGCTATCGAACAAGCTGAATAGCCCTATCCACTTTGGCCTTATGGCCTTAATGTAGTCCCTACATGGGTACTTTATGGCCTTAAAGTATATACTACATGAGTACATAGACCCCTAGGGTAGCACACTTGCAACCACTCAGGTCGCAAGCTCCCCAGTCCCTTCGGAAATTATACGCAAGCCTCGGGCTGGTGCTTGTCTACTCCCACTAGCTTTCCCTAAGGGTCCATGTACCCAAAATAGTATGTACTCTGGCCTTCATGTAGTCCCTAAAACAGGTACTTTGGGGCCAAAGTATATACTATTTGGGGGACCCTAGTAGAGTACCCTAAGTAGTAGGATCCTTATTATAAGGGCCCCAAACTAAGGTACCCGATATTTTCGGAAACTCCCAGATCAAGTCCCATGACGAGGCGAGCTTGCAAGTTGCAAGCTTCAGCACTCCGACGTGAAGATCACATGTATGCCGGGACGCGCCGACATTCGCACAACAACTACCCGACTGTGTGACTAAAGGCTCATGGATATAGCAGGTTCTGAGTCGGGTATTTGCAGCAGCATTCAGCCAGGACAGTATGTACAATAATGCCGATTCTAGCCATCCAGAAACAAGATCGCAATTTCCACAACAAAAAACCACAACAAAAACGATCCCGGCATTTCGACAAAAGCCTACTTCCGGCTTGCAGGGAAGGAACCGTCTCTGCAGCACCGCGGGTAGGACCGGGCAACTCCACCAGCCTGCCAGGGGTTACGTTATAGGGTTTAGGGTTTAGGGTTTAGGTCTACGGCTTCCGGCTCTGTCCGGAAGGTCCAATTTGGGTTTAGGGTTTAGGGTTTAGGGTTTAGGGTTTAGGGGCAATGTACGAAAGCCCACGGTTTGTGGGGTTTAGGGTTCAGGAGTTTAGGGTTTGAGGGTTTAGGGATTTATGCAAAAAGCCCGCCCTAGAGGTTCCAAGCCCGTTTGCTGGCGAACCTGAAGCCCGACACCCAGCAAACGATATAACCTGCTTCCAAACGGTTAAGGGTCTGGGGTTTAGAGCTTTGGGTATAGGGTTTGGGGTTTAGAGCTTTGGGTTTAGGGTTTGGGGTTTAGAGCTTTGGGTTTAGGGTTTAGGGTTTAGGGTTTAAAGAATGCGGCTTAGGCCATCTGATTGGAGCGGAAGATTCAACACACAGCCCATATCCCTTACCCTAAGGGTCCATGTACCTAAAGAGTATGTACTTGGCCTTAAAGTAGTCCCTGTTTGGGTACTTCGAGGCCAACGTATCTACTATATGGGCAGATGGACTCTCAGGGTTACTTCGGGCGTGGTCTCCACGGCAGACTGCGGGCCCAGGCTCAGGTTTCAAGGCTTTCATTTAATCGCTACTCGGGTTTAGGGTCTAGGGTTTAGGGTTTTTATATTGTTATGACTGTAAAACCCTTTTGATGAAGACCTTGTACCAAAACCCACGTCAGGGAAGGAGCCGTCTCGTTTTTGGAACATCGGAACACTAAACCCTGAACCCTAGGGCCATGAAAGTCTGCGACATACATGTGCAAGCCGAAACTACTGCTCCAAACTCTCAATAAGCCAATAAGCGTCGCGAAAAAGCCACAAGCCTAAGTCCGAACACACCGCGGGGATGGGTCCGCAGGAGCCTGATCCGCGAATCCTTGTCCGCAAGTATCTCTTGCCTGAGACTGAGACAAGACCCTCCACGAAACACAGTGTCGTTGATAACCCTAAACCCTAAACCCTAAACCCTAAACCCTAAACCCTAAGCCCCAAAACCCTAACGGCCTATAAGGAGAACTCTAAACAGCAGCTACGAGTCGGAGAGATTCTCGCAGGCTCCCCGGCTCGGGCGCTTCCCCGATCACCGTTTCCTGTACTTGGGGTTCACAGACGCGCTCAGTCTACCGTGCGAGCAAATGCTTCGCAGGGTCTGAGACAGAACTGTTGCAATTCACATTCACCGTGCTAGCTACGTTCGCTTAGGTTTCTCCGTGCCTGCAACATGCTGTGGCGGTTTCTCAACAAGCTGCCATAACAAGCACATCGGCTTAGGGCATGACCATCACCGTGCCAAAAGTGAACCGTCCAAAGTTCGAGCTCCGAACTTCCATAACCCGCAACATCACCCTAAAACTTCATTCCTGAACATCCCCCTAAACCATCAAACAAACACCCAGAATCCCTAAGCCATCCCTCCAGCCGGAGTGCATGAAGTTCTTCATGCTCATCCAGCTGGGGTTGAAGATGATAATGAGAGAGTCGTCTGCCTGCAGTGACAAGTTGTCCACCACCCAGCGGATCATCGGCTTGCCTCGTGTCGAGCGAAGGGCACGTTGTTTGAGCTTTGGGGTTTGGGGCTTCACGGTTTATCGTCCAGCCCCTCAGGCTTCGGGTGAAGGTTAACCTAAACCCTACTGGAAGGATCATGGGACTTAGTAAGTAAGGTTAGAAGTCCCCTAATTGGGGTTATATGTATAGCTACCTTAGTTATAACCCTACTTACTAAGTCCCATGATCCCTAAACCCTAAACCCTAAACCCTAAACCCTACTTACTAAGTCCGATTGGTTCTTTAAGTAACCCCTATAAACCCTAAGCCTGGCTCAAGCAACGCGAGGAGTCCCGCAAGTCTCACAACCGACCACGACTCTCCCATTGGGACATGTCCCCTCGAGGTTTAGGGTTTTTAGGGTTTAGGGGATAATCGTGCGTAGGGCACATCTTCTAGGAGATACTACTTGAAGTACTTAATATTCGACATGAGCACGTGGACCCTTAGCGAGTAGCATGATACCTCCCCATGCAAAACGCTTCGAGGTGCGATCAAATCCTCAAACCCCCTTAACCTTAAACCCCTAAACCCGAACCCCTAAACCCAAAGCCCTAAACCCCAAACCCCTAAACCTCAAACCCTAAACCCTGAACCCTAACCGATCGAGAAAGTGGAAGCTGTTCATTTCAAGTAGCCCAGGACCGGGATGAACGGCTTCGGGCGCGTCAGGTAGCCTGGCTCAAGAAGTCCCTGAACCCTAAACCCTAAACCCTTAACCCTAAACCCTAAACCCTAAACCCTTAACCCTAAACCCCTCTAAAACCCCTAAAGCCCTAAACCCTAAACCCTTAACCCTAAACCCCGCTAAAACCCCTAAAGCCCCAAACCCTGAACCCTAAACCCTTAACCGTAAACCCTTAACCGTAAACCCCGCTAAAAGCCCTAAAGCCCTAAACACTAAACCTTAAACCCGAAACTCTAAACCGTAAAACCCTACAACTCCTAAACCCCTAAACGCTAAAGCCAGTTCGCTTCTCCGAGGGCTTGGACTCACGGGTGAGGGTTTACGGGTTGCCGGCTCAGGGTTTGGGCCGCGAGGGTTCAGAGATATAGGGCACAGGGTCAGTTTTCCCGAGTGATCTACTTCATGAGGATGCATGTACACGGGATGCACGGTCGCAGTGTGCTTTTTGGGTAATCTGTCATAACCTTAGCTTTGGTAAGCTCAGGAGAACCTCCTGCGCTTGGAAGTGGTTGTCTCCGTCCGGACTGCCTCAGGCATACCCATCAGCTTCGCCACAGCTGGTGGAAAACTGTTCTTCTGAAGCATGGCCTGAACGTCGGCATTCGTCGAGCCGAAGGTGATGCAGGCTCTCTGTAGGCGTTCGATGCCTTTGAGAGTGGCGGTTTCGGCAATCTCCCCAAAGCTGCCAACATTGATCTCCTGCTGCAAAGAGTTCGTGAGCATGTCAACGATGTGCTGCACTTGCCAGCGGTGTGCCAGATCCAATGCAACGAGCATGGTCTTGTAATCGAGATCTGCGATGGCTGATGAACTTGTGTAGAGCAGATCGAGGAACAAGGAAATTCCGCGGCTCGACGAGTCTTTGATATCAATACGCCGGCACGAGCCTTCCTTCATGCTGGATTCGAGCATGGCCTTCAAGACCGGCGAAGAGATCATTAGTACATGGTCATGGGCCGACACCTCCCCATCTGATGATTCGAAAACTACATTGTGCGTGGAGGTCATTTCTCTAAAGGACTCCCACATGTGAGCAACCTCCTGATGCACGACTATGCTCTGGGACTTTCCAGCCGTCGTAGTCTTGATCAGCGCCAGGATACTTTCCAGATAGTTGCAGGCGACAGTCCAATCCGCGCCTCCTTTTCCTTTCCGAAGTTCTCCTAATACATTCATTACAAACGAGATTGTCGACTGGCCCTCGTAGGAGACTTCTACCAATGTCTCCTCTTTGCATACAAGTTTCCCCTTAACGCGCGTCTGAAAAAACAAGTCTTTCTGCAGGGTGGAAGATGTACACCGTAAGGGATCGGCACCAAGCTCTAATAAACATTCAATAGTCTTAAGTCGCTTCTCCTGCTCAGCGTCATTGTAAGCGGTCTCGGGAAGGCTGTGGATCACTGCGTAGAACAACGGCGGATGCTTGTGCTCGCCAAGTTCTTGATTCCAATCGAAATCGACCGGCGCAAATTGTCGCAGCCCTTGCGGATCAGATAGTTCAATGAAACCTTGCACGATGCGACCTGCAGCCATCTTCGACTTTCTCAGCTGGTCGTCCCGGCTGTCGAAGGGGATGACAGCGTAGTTGTTAATTGAGTCGTTCGCCCTACACTACATTGTGCTCCTCAGGGAATCTTACCATGTCGGTGTGTCTTCGAAGGATTCGGGTGTATGTCTAAATCTATGGGTATCCACCTCATGAGATGCACAGCGTCAAATGAACTCGAGCCGGCAGGCAGGTGCCTCAAATTAACAGAGACAAGAACCCCACAGCCTCGCACCAACACAGATCACCTAGACTGGGTGCACAATGCAATACAGTGTACGCAACAAATCAGTGTAGACAGGCAGACAGACAGACAAACAGATAGATAAATTGATAAGTTGCCAGGCAGGTCGGTAATTGGGCAGGTAGGTAGGCAGGTATGCAGGTAAAACGGTAGGCTCGCAGGGCAGGCAGGACGGTAGGCAGGTCGGTATGTAGGTAGGTGGGTAGGAAAAGGTAGGTAGGTAGGCAGGCAGGTAGGTAGGTAGGTAGGTAGGTAGGTAGGTGGGTGGGTGGGTGGGTAGGTAGGTAGGTAAGTAGGTAGAGGGCAGGGTAGGGTAGGGTAGGGTAGGGTAGGGTATGGTAGGGTAGGGCAGGGTAGGGTAGGGTAGGGCAGGGTAGGTAGGCAGGTAGTTAGGTATGTCCTCTCTCTAGTTCGGAGAAGTGACCCAACACCCTGTTTGCAAAAGCCTTTTGGGTCGTTTCTTGCATTCCCCGATGCTCATGAAGCTGGGCCCGTGTGCTCCTGATGATGGGTTTGTGGAACTGACCCAACACGTTGTTTGCAAAAGCCTCTTGGGTCACTTCCTTCAACTCCACTCAACCAGCCAGAAACCGGCCTCCCTATGCCACAAACCCCGGCTGATGCTCATGATGCTGGGCCCGTGTGCTCATGATGATGGGTTCGGGGAAGCGACCCAACACGTTGTTTGCAAAGCCTCTTGGGTCACTGCAAGGGGATGAGGTTTTAACTAAAATGTTCATGGACATGATGTCAGCATGGATGCGAGTATGTATGTAGGATATACACATATACACATGTATGTATGTATATATGTATGCAGGCATGTATTTACTACGTATGTATGTGTGTGTGTGNNGTAGGTAGGTAGGTAGGTGGGTAAGTAGGTAGGTAGGTGGGTAGGCGGGAGGCAGGCAGCAGCGAGGTAGGTAGATGTCTTGGACAGGCGTACATATAAACATAGCCGCACATACATGAACACATACATGGAAACATACAGATACACACACGTATCTATTTGCAGGTAGGAAGACAAATAGCTGGGGATCGACAGATGAGCACTTCTTCCAAGCATACACGACAACTCCCCGTGGTTGCTCGACAAAATATCGGCTGCGCGGCCTTCTGTTTGGAAGCGGCTACCCACTCCGCCGAGGGGAATAACGACGTTCCTGGGGTCAAGGAGTGGCCGGCTAAGTGAAGCAGGGGTAAAGCTCGAAAGTTATTGCGGTATCAGGGTCCATGCAATGCTCCATCTGAGTACAAGTATCTGCTCATTAGCTAGACTTGACACGACAGAGTATGATGGCTGGAGATCAACAAAACATCGAGCACCGTGCGAATATAAAAATTTTATAGAACCCAAACCTCCGAAATTTAGGCACTAGTGTACACAGCCATCAGGACGCACGATGCGACATCGCAACAACACTCCTCTTGAACCCACAATGCCGAAAATCCAAACTCCAAGCCGGGGCAAAAAGTCACGAAGTTGGAGCACCCAACAGCCGTGAATTCAGCAACCTCAGAGCTGGCAACCCAACAACTCCAATTCAAGGTCCGGCACCCAGTTAGGGTTTAGGGTTCAGGGTTTAGGGTTTTGGGGTTGGGGTTTAGGGTTTAGGGGTTAGGGTTTAGGGTTTAGGGTTTAGGGTGAGAAGATCAAAAGTTCAAGATAGCAACCCCCCTTGCGATTCTCCGACAGGGCTCATGCTTGCAAAGCGAACTACGCAGGTCCGCCAGAGATGAGTGGCACAAGACCGGACTTCAGAATCTGCTGGCAACTTGCTCTAATCCCCTCAGCCCGCAGACTGTAAGCCCTGAGCCCTGTTAACCCATTGTGTATATATATATATATATGCTGTCAGCTCCAAACCCAGGACGACTGCTCGAAGCGATGTGGAGAAGTCAGAAAGATGTATGCATGCGAACAAACAGAGCATTCATCTGTCTTGATGGCATTTAATTGATCTCCGTTGTGGAAGCGCTGAAAAGCCAGTGGCGTAGCGGGGTATCTTGTCGCAATGTGATAACCCGAACAGGATTACTGTAGAAGCATGAACAATTACTAGTTGTTGAGGACCAATACCATTCCGTAGAAAGTATCTTAGACTTGTACTAGACTACACCCCAAAGCCCTGTTCCAACAATTGGAGGCTCCTATATTACATGCCTCTCATGGTTCCCCGAAGCCCTGACGGCTTAACGTTCCAGGAAGTCGGATCTAGAACATTCACCTGATTCCGATATGGATCGCCTCCCAAAATTTTGGAAGCTTAATACCAAGTACCCAAACAGTATATACTTTGGCCGCAAAGTACCGACATAGGGACTACTTTACGGCCAAGGTTTATACTATTTGGGCACCTGGACCCTTGGGGTAGGGTTTAGGCTTAAGGCTCTAAGAACTATAGCACTACGTAGCACTATCAATACCCATAGCCCCGTAGTACGTAGTTCCTTTTGGGGGTTCATATTTAGAACCCTATTAGGTAATCCCAAAAAGGAACTACTGTGGCGCCTATGGGTAGCCACGGAGAGTGAGAGTAGGACCAAACATGATTCTTTCAACGAGTGGCACAATAGCCGCGCAAAAAGAAACTCAAGTCAAGTCCAACTCGCAAGAATGCCCAGGTACTTCAACCTAAGTTATCTTCAGAGCCTAAGAAGGATGTCGGAAGACGCGAAGATTTTAAAAGAACGGTAAAGGTAACCTGGTCCGGCTTCTTTGCGTTAATAGGGAGACCACACAATAGAAAGGCCATAAGGGCACCACTGGGGAACCTGACTGCCAGACTGCAGGGTTCGGGAAGAACGCTTGAACTCAAAACCCTACCTTAGGGTTTAGGGTTTAGGGTTTAGGGTTTAGGGTTTAGGGTTTAGGGTTTAGGGCTCCTACTTGGAGGTTCATGGGTGGTTATAAGTGGGGTTATAAGTAGGGTAATTACAATTATAACCCATGTTAGGGGACTTATAACCCTACTTATAACTACCCATGAACCTCCAAGTATAGTCTCCGTTGTAGTTCCTTTTTTTTGTTTAACAGTTTAACCCCATATTTCGGATCCTATGAGGTGAGACCCCCCAAAAAAGGAACTCCAACGGAGACTGCAGGTAAGCCCTAAACCCTAAAACCCAAACCCTAAACCCTAAACCCTAAACCCGAACCCCGAAAGCTGTGAGGTTCTAGGCTTCCTTTCGGGATCTAGGGACTCTAGGGTTCTGGGGGGTGTGGGTTTTAGGGTTTAGGGTTTAGGATCTAGGGTTTTAGGGTTTAGGGTTTAGGGTTCAGGGTTTAGGGGTTTAGGGGTTTAGGGTTTAGGGGGGGTCTATAGGCTCCATGTTAGGCAATGTTAGGTCCTTTTTTTGTTGGTTACCAGCTTTACAGTTAGGATTCCTTTCATATAGGAATGGTTAAGAACCAAAGACAGCCAAAGACAGCAACAGGAACTAACATGGAGACTTTAGGTAGGGTCTCGTTTTGAGCATATGTACGGCTTACAGCAGTGCTGTAATCACAAGGTCCAAGAGCAACATAACCCTAAACCCTAAACCCTAAACGGGGCTGTAGTCACAAGGTCCAAGAGCAACATCGAAGCGCAGTCATCTGTGTTCCGGCCCCCGACCTCCTGAACTGTCAGTTCGAAGAAGCCTCAACTACGCGACCGAAACCTCAGATCACCAAACCGAAACCCTAAACCCTATAAACCCTAAATCCTAGACCCTAAACCCAACCCTAAATCCCAAATGCCAGACCCTGAACCCAAAAGCCTAAGGCCCCAAAACCCTTTAAGTGAACCCTGAAACCCCTCAGACGCCCCCGAAACAGCGAAAGGCCTTGCTCAAAACCGGGCTCCACACCCCAGGCCAGTGGCGACACAAGGCCTGATTTCACTGCCCCGGGTCTAGGGTTTAGGGTTTAAGTGGACATGTGCCGTCCTTGACTTCCAAGCACGAGCCATTTAGGCGTTCCACTGACGGGCACGTAAAAGTCGCAGGGATTAGGATTGAGGGTTTTTCGGGACATGAGGAGCTGATAGGAGTTGTACAGCCACAAGATGCCACCAGCGTGACTGCGGTTTAGGGTTTAGGGTTTAGGGTTTAGGGCATTTCAGTAGGCGGGCCATAATAACTGATAGTAGTCAGCCATCTCTGTGCTGTCGTTTACCCTGGAAATGCAAGAGCACCCAAAATCAGGCTAGCATTGCACTCTTATCCGTTTAGGAAGTTTGACTCGTACTTGCAAGTGGAGGCCAGAGCGCAACTTGCTGTCACCTTGATTCTGTCCCCACTAAGACTTCGAGTTACCCATAGGCCCTAAAGTAGTTCCTTTTTGAGGCTACCTTATAGGATTCTATATATGAACCCCAAAAGGAACTACTTTAGGGCCTATGGGTAGTTGGTCCTGAAAGCCAAAGACAGCAATTGAAAAGCCCCGGGGGAGCCTCGGGCTTCAGAGGGTCTTGGGAGGGGGTTTGGGGCTTGAGTTTAGGGCTTAGGGTTTAGGGTTTAGGGTGTAGGGTTTAGGGTTTAGGGTTTAGGGATTTTGCACCATACAAACTTCTAGACGACCTTAAAACCGATCCCGGCTCACTCCTGCACCACGCACCCTAGCTTCATGGTGTTCTCATGGCATTTCAGGCTCATGCGATTGCGACTGCAACTTCACAAATGCAGTCGACTGAAGTCCCTCGCACCAGAAAACCAAGGTGCATCAGTCTCCACGTTGTTTTGCAAAGCAGCTAG